GCTGTCCGGGGCTTGTCCGGCGGCCCCTGCACAGGGACGGCTAGCAGGTGGCAGCTGCCCGCTCTGAGGCCGAGGGCCCGTAGGAGGGGAGAAGGGGCGGGCTCCCCGCCCACCAGGACGGCCCCCGTCAGGCTGGTGCTTCTTTTGGGTCCCCACTCCCCCCCCCCCCACGAAGCAGCTGGGACCAGGTCGTGTTGGGGAGGAAGGATGCCCAGAACGAACTCAGACAGACACGGGGTTTGTGGACCCCACCCCGACCCCAGACCAAAGAGAGGGAGACACCAGGCCCCTTACGGTCATCCTCACGGAAGGGCGGAGGCTGGGAACGGAGGGCGGAGCTGAGCGGCCAGGTCCGGCATAACCGCAGACGCCTGGGCCCGGGCCGCTTGGCGCTGGCGAGGGCCGGCCCTCGCGGGGCTCGGGCCTCGAGCTCAGCGGACCCGAGGACGCGTCCACCCGCCTCTCTCCCGCCTTCCCCTTGAGTCATTCCTCTTCATCCCCCCTTCTGCCCTGGATCAGCCTTTCTGTGGTGCCTGCAGCTGGGGATTGTCAGAAGTCCCTGTGAGCGCGGGGGGAGACCCAGAGCAGGCTCCCAAGGGCGCGTGGCGCGTGGAGAGACGTGTGGCTCCCGTCCACCTACGCTTCTGCTCCTTAGCCTGAGCCGTCTGCTCTCCCGCCCTCGGCTGGAAGTGTTCGCAGGTGCACGGACGAGGTCTGGCAACCACCGTGCGGTGGAGTTTTCTAGCTATTTTGCAATTTGCATGACTTAAGGAAGCTACGGAGTGGAGGAATGGAAATGCTTTGCGGTGGCACCCTAGTTTCCGCGGTGTTTCTGTCCGCGAAGCACGGCAAGCCTTGAATGCCAAGCCCGACGGAGTGACCGGTCCCGTCGCGGCCCGGCCGCCCTCCCACGCCTCCTGTTGCAGAGGATGCTGTCTGTCCTGGGCAGCGTGAGCCCGTCCGCGTGTGCTGCCCCTCCCTCCCTGGGTCCTGACCCTGCTCCCGGCTTCTTCGCCTCAGCCCGTGAGCCGCCGCGCCGCCGCCTCCGACAGCTGCGCCCTGGCCGGCGTCCCCGCGCCACGGTCTCCGGCCTTGCCCATCTGCCCAACCCGCCGAGCGGAGCTGCGCCTCTCAGCTGCAGCCTGCGGGGCCCCTTCACGCGCCCCTGGCCGCCCCGCTGACCCTGCGCTCGCGAAGCTGAGCCTTGGCTGGGCCAGGGGTTCTTCCAGCGCTTAGCGCGGCCCTGGCTGTCCTGAGGTCCGTGGGTCTGCGGAGACGCCTCCTCCTTCTGGCGGCCTGGCCAGGGCAGGAGGCTCAGCTAGCGGCTAGCGCGGCTTCCACGGACTGTTGATTTTTTTCTGGTTTCAGTTTCATCGTCCCTGCTCTTAAGAGTTTTCTTCCTTCTGCTTACGCTGAGTTTTGGCAGCTTTTTTTTTTTTTTTTTAACCCTAATCTATTAAGTAGGAGCTTAGATTTTTGCTGTAGACATTTCTTTTCTAATACATTAGTGTTGTCAATACCCCTCAGCACACTCTGGCTTTATCCTGCAAATTTTGATGTATTTTTCTAATATCCTTCCTGTTTTCCCCTGGCTATTTATTTATTTATTTATTTACTTAAAGATTTATTTATTTATTCATACAGAACTGGGGTACAGGCCAGAGATGCGGTGGGT